ATAATAGGAAATGTTTCTTGAGCCACAAATCAGCATATTAGAATGATTTCTGAAGGATCATGTGACACTGAAGACTGGAGTAATGATGCTGAAAATTCAGCTTTGCATCACAGGGATTTATTATATTTTAAAATATATTCAAAATAGAAGTTATTCCAAACTTTTGACCAGTAGTGTACATATGCATATAGTCATGTGATTAGTCACAATGGTTTCATTTGAGGTTGCACATATATAATGAGCTCAACATGCAAAATACCCTGCATGCCTGAGGAACACATTTAGAATTAAGCAAATAATATGCAAAATCATGTAATGAAACAGCAGAAATAGTCTTGTCTACCATGACTACAAAAAATCATATATAATCTCGACGTTTACAGAGTATACAACAAACTAAATCTCTGCATCTCACAATTCTCAACCGGAGCATAACAGCCAGTTTGCATATAGGGACAGATGTTGCCTCACCTCCTCCCGGAGCTCGTACTGCTCGATGAGCTTCTTGAGTTTCTCAGCCAGCTCCACGTTCTCCTGCCGCAGCTTGCTGTTGTGCAAGTTGTGCTGCTCCATCTGGGCCTCAATCTCGTTGAGTGTCATCTGGAAGTGCAGCGTCGCCTCCTTGCGCTGCTCTTCGTACTCCCTGGACCTCTGAGCATTCTCCTCCTGCCATCACAACAGTTACCTGGTTAAACTAAGGCCGAATCTTTAAATCAGATCCCGGATGAGCATGAGCTGCGGTGGCTTTACCTTTAAAGTCTTGTTATGGCGCTGAAGTTCCCTGCAAAGACTCTCCAGTTTGCTGCGTGCCAGGACGGCCTTGCTGTGCTCGCTCTGCAGGTGGATCTTCTCTTTAAGCACCTGGTTCTGCTTCTTCTGCAACACTTTCACCTGCTTTTGCATGCTGCGACTCTCCTCCAGCTGTCCCAGGAAGAATTACACATTAGTATTTAGTGATGCACTGAAATCTCCCCTGCTGAAATAACAAAAAAAAAATTTTAATAAATTTTTGGTTTCGGAGGGCCAAAATCATAGACCAAAACTAGGGTTTTGTAATTAATGTTATTTAATTGTATTTTTGTTTTACATTTCATCAAAATTACTGCACTTTCACATAAGCACAAATCAAAAGAACTTCAACTCACATCGTTTGCTTGCAGATTTAGTCGCAGAAAACCGTGCAAATGAAAACAAACTGCCTGTATTACACCTATTTGAGTAGAATATCTCAATAGAGATCGCTAAACTCCAACTTATATGTTTTTCAGCTCAATTTTTTCCATTTCCATTTAGCAGACGCTTTTATCCAAAGCGACTTACAAATGAGGAAACGATACGCAAGTGCTATGACAATATAATATATTATATTTTTCCATAATATACAGTGAACGTGTTGCCAGGTTGGCAAGATTAAGTAAACCACTGGGCAGAAAATGTATCGACTCATGCAACAAAAAAAGTTTGTGGAGGCTTGTTACCAATGCAAAATAACAAAAATGCCAAATTACAATGAAACGTTTTCTGGATAAATAACCAGTGGGCAAATATCGCATATGATTATGCTAAATAAATCAACAGAAGCAGAATTCGACATCACGATTAAAATCAAGCAGTTCATCAAAAAGAAGCAGTTTGTTACCGAAGAAATTTTAGATGTAAAGACTGATCATTACAGTATACACCACAAACGTATAAATATGAATTCATTCAAATATTTATTCAAGCATACTTACTTTTCCTGATATATATTAGCTGCCTATATTGTTCACTTAAAAATTACGCAACAGATTAATCCATTTCAGTGCATGACTATTAGTATTTCATACCACAGGAGTTGTATAATACTTTGTATGGAAAAAGAGTAGCTTGGGAGTAAATTCTCCAAATAAATCATACAAGCTTGGATTGCAATTTTTTTGCGAACTCTCTCTGAAAGGACATTAAGTATAAAGTGTAATATCAATTGCTGTTCAAAGTCATTTCTCTAGCCTCAAATACATACCAGGTCTGCATATTTCTTACAAAGGGCAGCGAGTTTTTCTTCTGGGGTGGCTAAAGTATGAAGCGCCTGCATCAGCAACAAAACCTCTTTGCCTACGACAACAAAAGAAGAATTATGCATAGAATAACTTGTTATTGACAAACGAGTCATCCGATCACAATGTAAAAAAAAAAAACACATAAAGGGATTGTTCGCCCAAAAAAGAAAATTCTGTTGTTATTTACTCACCCTCAAACTTGATTCCTAAACCGAACAGTTGTTGGTCCCCGCTGACTTCCATAGTATGGAAGAAAATACTATGGAAGTCAATGGGGACCAGAAACTGTTTGGTTACCCACATTCTTCAAAATATCTTCTTCTGTGTTCAGCCGAAAAAAATTAAAACTCATACAGGTTTGGAACATCTTGAGCGTGAGTAAATGATGACCGAATGCTCTTTTTTTGTATAACTATCTCTTGAATACAGGGCTCTGTTTATTTCTTATATTGAACCCGAAACATTCCGTTAATGGCGAACACTAACCAAATGCTTTTTGGTCCTTGGTTTTCTCAGCATTAGGGTCCAACTCCCCATCGAGGGGGTCAGGGTTACTACCCTCCCTTCCTGGCGTCTCCCCTCTCTCCTCCTCACTGCTCACCAGCCCCGCGAAATCCTCCACATTATCCTGGGATGGGGTCTCAACATCCGGAGGTGAACTGCTCCCTTCAACAAGTCCTCTGGCTTCTAGACCACAGACCCCGATGATTTCCTCCATGACTTCAGTGCCCTGATGATGCAAACACAAAAACCGTCAAAGGAGACGAGTTTAAGTTATCCAAGCTGAGTCTGTGTAGTTTTGACACTGACATTAAACCCTGCATTTAGGTGGCATGTGTCATAACCAATACAAGGACACCTGCTTTAGCTCTAGATATTTACTGCAAACACAGAAAACTCACTATACACAGAAAGACAGAACTGAGCACGTGCTGCACAGAAGCTGAGTCTCAAATCCCAGCGAGCTCTCTACCTAGGCAGCATTTTTGGGCACCATACACGTTTAAAATGCTGTCTAGGCACGAAGCTCACAAAGTTTAGAGGCACAGTCAGAGAGTTGCATTAAAATCAACACAAGCAAATGAGTGAGAGGGAACGGGTTAAGACATGAACAAATGAGACCACTGAGGTATTTATTCAAAGCACGTGTCAACTAATAATCTGTGCAAAAGTAAACGCGTCAGCACTGGCCAATTACAGTATACACTACAAACTTATCAATATGGAATAACTAAAATATATATCCAAGCATACTTAGTTTCCCGACAGACGTATATAACGCGAAATAATTCTTATGTTTAATCACATGTTAAATTAAACCCACAAATGAGCCTCATATTGATCAGTTTCCCTGGGTTAAAAGTTTAAACGGGCTATTTATGAAGCATATCACAGCTCAGATAAAATAGTAAGCCCAAAAATCATCTAGTCGTGAAGTCTGTAAAGTGATAAAGCTGTAAACCTCGGGCTAACCCCGCATTCACCCCTGTTCATACATGTGTATTTAACACTTTTATCATCTTAAATCTATTTCAAAATCCTTACCCTCACTGTTATGTCAGCGCTAGACATAAAACAGAGCACATGTAAATCTGAAACGGGTTGTAGATCCCGATGTTTATTTGGATATCGAGAGTTGAAGTGCTCTTGTAAGTTGCTTAGCGGGCTAAAGCTAAGTTACTTCCTTCGTAAATAACACGTCTTTACGGCGACAGGTTCCCTTCGTGGGTGTATAGCAAGTCTTCCGTGGCGTTAGGTGTGTTAATGGTGTTATATTGAAAAGAAATGTTCAACAGCGAGCAGGTTGAGGTACAGTACCTGTGTGTTTTCAGTGTTTTCAGTGTTTTCGTGCCTGGCGTCTGAGCGCGTCGCCATCTTGTGACGCAACACCGAGAAGTGAAAAGAGTAGCATCTGCTGCAAACCCGGAGGCTGCATATTATAAAACTCAAGTCAAACATATTTATTATGTATTCAAGTGCTTTGTAATGTTATTTTTAACTATAAAATTTTTACAGTTTCTGCTATTAATTAAACTGTCGTTTTATTTCGACGTGCTTTAGGATTAAATCGCACACGTTACTCTACAGGTAGCCTATAATCATTTTATTATGTGTGTATATAAATAAATGTTACTTTCAGTGTTGGGGAAAGCTACTTTTAAAAGTAATGCATTACAATATTAGAGTACCCTGAACGTAATCAGCGCTGTTTACGTTCAGTAGACAGTGCGCGCATGCTGAACATAAATTGTTATTATTGTTTTCTTTGCGCACAAAAAGTATTCACGTAGCTTCGTAAATTAACGGTTTAACCCCTGATATCACATGGACTATTTTACAGATCTTCTTGCAACTTTCTGGACCTGGGAACATTGCTGTCTATGGAGGGCCAGACAGCTCTCAGATTTGATCAGATATATATTAATTTGTGTTCCGAAGATGAACGAAGGTCTTACGGGTTTGGAACGACATGAGAGTGAGTAATTAATGACAGAATTTAAATTTTTGCGTGAACTAACCCTTTAATTGATTGAAAATACAGTAATACTTTTTAAATTAACTGTTTATTCTTGTGATGTTGAAGCTGAATTTTCAGCATCATTACTCCAGTCTTCAGTGTCACACGATCCTTCAGAAATCATTCTAATATGCTGATTTGCTGATCAAGAAACATTTATTATAACTATTGAAAACAGTTTTAGCTGCTTAATATTTTTCTGGAAACTGGTAACTTTTTTTAGTTCTTTCATCATTTTCATTCTTTAATAATTAGAATAGAGCAGCATTTATATGTAGAGAAAAAACTTTTTTTTTTGTCACTTTGGTCAATTTAATGCATCCTTGTGGAATAAAAATATTTATTTCTTTGGGGGAAAAATCCTACTGACCCCAAAGTTTAACAGTTATAGTACCTTTATCATTATATATTTCTCCACGAGTTCGCCTGTCCTTCCAGTCCTGATGGTTAATGGTAAACAAACTTGGCTTGCTGTCTTCGATGGAGGCAGGAACCCGAAGCTCAGCTTGAGCTCAGAGTTCAACCCCCCATTACGGCACTACATAGAGGGAGTATGACACATGAGGAGGTGGAGGGCTGCTGGAAGAATTGTCACTGGGATGGCACAATGACTGCTGCTTATATACTGTAGGCTCGTGATGATTGACAGGACTGAATGATTAGGCTCCTCCTGAACCTACGTTTAGAACTTCATTTATTTGTTGTGTGTTTTTCTGGGATAGATCTGTTTGATTTTATTCTAAATTGATTTTTTGTTGATTCACAGAGTCGAAGAGCACACAACATAGAGCTGAGAGGAGCTGTGGTTATTTTTGATGAGGCTCATAATGTTGTAAGTATCTTAAAGGGTTAGTTCACCTAAAAATGAAAATTAGCGTTTTACTCACCGTTACTCATCGTAGGTGTATATGACTTTCTTCTTTCAGACGAATCCAATCAGAATTATATAAAAAATTGTCCTGGCTATTCCAAGCTTTATTATTGTAGTGGGTGGGTGTTTCTCTTTAGCAGTCCAAAACACGTTAAATAAAGCATGCACATTCATAATAAAACGTCCCTCACACGGCTCCGGGGCATGAAAAAAGTCCTCCTGTAGCCATTCCAATGCGTTTTTGTAAGAAAAATACCCATATTTCAAACGTAATAAACACTTTTCTCTCACTTCTGCTGACTCGCTTATGCGGAAGCGTTGCGGCGGATGACGTAGGACGAATGCGTCGCACGCGCCTCTGAGATATGCTAGTCTAACGAGTTTGTTTACAGGAGCAAAGGAAGCAAAGTTTCCTTACTTTAGCAAAGGAAAACCAGTCTCCTCTTGGCTTATATCGAAATCCTCTTACATTTTTCTTTACAAATCCTCGTTTTGTGCTTCTAATTCATGACCGGCGTTTTGCTTTGTTCTCTCTCTGCGTTCGTCACTAATCACGCAATGCCGACATCCTAAAATATGAATATTTTTCTTACAAAAACGCATGGATTTGCTACTGGAGGCCTTTATTCAACCCCTGGAGCTGTGTGAGGCACATTTTATTATGGATGTGCGCACTTTATTTAACTTGTTTTGGACTGTTGAACAGAAACACCCGCCCACTGCAATGATAGAGCTTAGAAGTGCCAGGACAATTTTTAATATAACTCCATCTGAAATAAGAAAGTCATATACACCTAGGATGGCTTGAGGGTGAGTAAATTAAATTAACTAATTTTCATTTTTGGGTGAACTAACCCTTTAATGTTTTTTGAGACCTCAAAGTCATTCAGCATGTGAAATTATGCAGTTCTGTGTTCTTGTTTTTTTAATATTTCTATTCTACTGTTTGTCTACATTTATCAGGAGAAGATGTGTGAAGAGTCCACCTCGTTTGACCTCACCCCTTACGACCTGATTTCTGCCATTGAGGCCGTGGATCGACTGCTGCGGGAACAAGCCTCAGACATCAGCAAAGCAGATTCTGCTGAAGATTTTAATGTGGAATCGCTGAACTCTGGTTAGTTTATATTTGTCAAGATTTTCGTTTGCATATAAAAATTTTTGTTTATATTTTAAATATTATATATACACACACACTCCCTTGTTTTTATCCAATGTATTATTTTGCAGGATTGAAACTGGATATTACCACAATTGCAAAAATAAAACGTAGGTTGCATTTTAAAAGTTAATATTGTAGTACAGTATTATGCTTACAGAGTTGTTTGGAATCCATTTTTCAATTTTTCAGTAAACATTTTCCTCAACGCACAACTTGATAATCTTACAGAAGTTTTGATGGATCTGGAATCTTCCATTAACCCATTAACGATGCCAGCAAATAGTCAAGGAATCACCAAACCCGGCAGGTCAGTGGAGTTCAGTGCTGCGAATGTGTATCCGTGACCTTGATATATTGACAGTAAAAAATACACAACAGCTTATATACGGTCTCTTCCTCTCTTAAAGTTTCATATATGAGCTTTTTCAAACAGCTCATGTGAACTCTGATACTAAAACAGCTGTGGTGGAAGCCATGGAACAGGTCACAGGATATTTAGCAGGGAGTGAGTCTTTACAAATCCTCAATATAATTGACGTTTGCTGTTTATTAGTGCAGCTTTGATGCACATATGTCATTTTTTGCAGGGCCTGGTGTCTTTCTGAACACTAGTGGACTACAGAAAGTGGCGGATATAATCCAGGTCAGGAGCATGTTAAAGAGATCAGTTGGCTGTTTTTTTGTATTTTTCCCCCTATATTTATTGTGTTTGCTTCTTTATCCTTATTAAGCTGGTGTTTGGGGCTGAACCTCCAGAGGGCAGCAAGAAATCACAGATGGGAAACAGCATGAAGGAGTTTAAGGTTTGCTCCAGTTGATTTTCATATTCATGCTGTCTTCATCAGTACATGAAGTTGTCTGAGCGCATCAGGTTTTAGGTTTTCTCCAGTCAAGTCTAATGGTACATTTATATCTCTTGATTATTTTAAGAGTGGAAATGTTGCTGTTTTTAAAACTAAGGCCAGCTCAAGTTGTGGTTTTGTCCTGAGTTTTAATGGGAAATTCCATCATGTATGCATCAATCCCATTCCATCCATCTTTTTGGAAAGAAATTAATACTTTATTCGGCAAGGATGCGTTCATTTGATCAAAAGTAATACTAATTATGGATGGGCGCACTTTATTTAACTTGTTTTGGACTGTTGAACAGAAACACCCGCCCACTGCAATGATAGAGCTTAGAAGTGCCAGGACAATTTTTAATATAACTCCATCTGAAATAAGAAAGTCATATACACCTAGGATGGCTTGAGGGTGAGTAAATTAAATTAACTAATTTTCATTTTTGGGTGAACTAACCCTTTAATGTTTTTTGAGACCTCAAAGTCATTCAGCATGTGAAATTATGCAGTTCTGTGTTCTTGTTTTTTTAATATTTCTATTCTACTGTTTGTCTACATTTATCAGGAGAAGATGTGTGAAGAGTCCACCTCGTTTGACCTCACCCCTTACGACCTGATTTCTGCCATTGAGGCCGTGGATCGACTGCTGCGGGAACAAGCCTCAGACATAAGCAAAGCAGATTCTGCTGAAGATTTTAATGTGGAATCGCTGAACTCTGGTTAGTTTATATTTGTCAAGATTTTCGTTTGCGTATAAAAAATTGTTTCTATTAAAAATTTTGTTTATATTTTAAATATTATATATACACACACACTCCCTTGTTTTTATCCAATGTATTATTTTGCAGGATTGAAACTGGATATTACCACAATTGCAAAAATAAAACGTAGGTTGCATTTTAAAAGTTAATATTGTAGTACAGTATTATGCTTACAGAGTTGTTTGGAATCCATTTTTCAGTATAAAGAAAAACATTTTCCTCAACGCACAACTTGATAATCTTACAGAAGTTTTGATGGATCTGGAATCTTCCATTAACGGTTTTGAGATGCCAGCAAATAGTCAAGGAATCACCAAACCCGGCAGGTCAGTGGAGTTCAGTGCTGCGAATGTGTATCCGTGACCTTGATATATTGACAGTAAAAAATACACAACAGCTTATATACGGTCTCTTCCTCTCTTAAAGTTTCATATATGAGCTTTTTCAAACAGCTCATGTGAACTCTGATACTAAAACAGCTGTGGTGGAAGCCATGGAACAGGTCACAGGATATTTAGCAGGGAGTGAGTCTTTACAAATCCTCAATATAATTGACGTTTGCTGTTTATTAGTGCAGCTTTGATGCACATATGTCATTTTTTGCAGGGCCTGGTGTCTTTCTGAACACTAGTGGACTACAGAAAGTGGCGGATATAATCCAGGTCAGGAGCATGTTAAAGAGATCAGTTGGCTGTTTTTTTGTATTTTTCCCCCTATATTTATTGTGTTTGCTTCTTTATCCTTATTAAGCTGGTGTTTGGGGCTGAACCTCCAGAGGGCAGCAAGAAATCACAGATGGGAAACAGCATGAAGGAGTTTAAGGTTTGCTCCAGTTGATTTTCATATTCATGCTGTCTTCATCAGTACATGAAGTTGTCTGAGCGCATCAGGTTTTAGGTTTTCTCCAGTCAAGTCTAATGGTACATTTATATCTCTTGATTATTTTAAGAGTGGAAATGTTGCTGTTTTTAAAACTAAGGCCAGCTCAAGTTGTGGTTTTGTCCCGAGTTTTAATGGGAAATTCCATCATGTATGCATCAATCCCATTCCATCCATCTTTTTGGAAAGAAATTAATACTTTATTCGGCAAGGATGCGTTCATTTGATCAAAAGTAATACTAAAGACATTTAGAATGTTACAAAAATATTAAGAAAATACTAAGCAGCAAAATTGTTTTCACTATTGGTAATAATCATAAATGTTTCTTGAGCAGCAAATCAGCATATTAGAATGATTTCTGAAGGATCGTGTGACACTGAAGACTGGAGTAATGTTGCTGAAAATTCAGCTTTGCATCACAAGAATATATTATATTTGAAAATATATTAAAATAGAAAATAGTCATCTTAAAGTGTAATGATATTTCACAGTATTACATTTTCTACTGTATGTTTGATCCTTGTTGAGCATACGTTTCTTTCAAAAACATAATTGTACTGATCCCAAACTATTGGATGATATATGTCTGATGGTAGTTCCTCTCGTCATTGTCTTTCACTTCCAATCTCTGCTCCTGATTCCTGAATCTGTCTCATATCAGGTCCACATTCATCCAGACACCAGCAACTTCAAGAAGAAACAGGTGACGGATGTATGGGCTTCCTCCTCTACCAAAAAACAAGGTATGACACTCTTATTCGGTCTCTGAGAAGCCTCATGTTTAGTAAATGTGTTTTCAAAAGGAATTTGATATTTTGGAAAACCTGTTTTTTTTTTGTGCCGTTTCCAAGTCATGGAGAATCTGAGAGTTATTATTGCGTCAATATTCGAAGTGTTTGTTGCCTTGGTGCACTTACATTCGGCTTCCACAAAGAAATGCTGGAAAAAAGCGAACTTGCACGTTAAACTTGTATGCCTGAGCTATGAAAGATTGAAAGTATGTTTGCATATTTTATAGGGAATGTGCTGAGCTACTGGTGTTTTTCTCCGGGGTTCAGCATGCAGGAGTTGCTCAGACAGGGAGTACGCAGCATCATTCTGACCAGTGGAACTCTCTCGCCGCTCTCATCCTTCACCTGTGAAATGCAAATGTTAGTGCTCTTCTCCTCTAGCTGTCCCCTCTGAGTTGATGCGGGTTGGGTGCTAATTCTCTGCTGATTTTTCTGCAGTCCTTTCCCTGTATCCTTGGAGAATCCTCACGTCATCCAGCGTGATCAGATCTTCGTCAGTATCATTGAAAAAGGTCCAGACGGCGTGCAGTTGAGCACAGCCTTTGACAGGAGGTGAGTGTTTTATCAAGGGTTGTTTAGTCACATTAACATCCTCTGCTGAAGGGGAAGAAGTTTGGGGTCAGTAATTTAGGACATATATTTAGCAAAGACTAATTAAATTGATCTAAAATGACAGGAAAGAGATTTACAGTAACTAAAGATTTCTATTACAAATACTGTTCTTTTCATGATAATAATAAGAAATGTTTCTTGAGAAGCATTTTAGCATTTTACAATGATTTCTGAAGGATCATGTGACACTGAAGACTGGAGTAGTGATGCTGAAAATTCAGCTTTGCATCACAGGAATAAATTACATTTTAAATGTCAATGTTATTGTAGTTAGCTCAAACTTTTTAATTCTAAAATTTATTTCAGCTAGTTGCCAAGGCAGCGTTTCTTAATTTAGTTTATGTACTAAAATAAAAACAAAACAAATATATAGACATATAAAACGACTAAAAATGACAAACACACAACAACCAAAATTTGGTACCAAAATTGTGAAAATGGAAAATATAAAAATAAAAACTGATTCAAAATATTAATAGAAACTATAATAGTATCTGATACTGTTATTCTTATCCGAGATGTGATATTTATATTGACCATGGGCTGTCAAAACCCAAAAAGACCAACAACAAAAAAAGCACTATAAAACAGGATTCTTATAGTTAACTAAAACCATAAAATGTTTTTTTTTTTTTTTTACAAAAAATAAAATTGAACCTTTTTTTTTTTTGTTACTTGAACTAAAACTAATATAAAAATAAAACTAATATTTAAAAATATATATTTTTGTTTAGTTTAGCTGGGTGTACTAAAATAACTAAAACTGAAATAAAAACAATAAAAAAAAAATATGGACATAAAAAAATAGTACCGTAATAAAAATGCCAAAAACACAAAAATTACTAAAACTAAAAAAGGTAAAAACAGAAAAAATAAACACTAATGCAAACTATTAATAAAACTATAGTAGTTTCTCACTGATACTAAAATAACACTGCTGTAAAAGCACCATAAAAGCAGCTCATGTGACATGTTTGCTATATTTCAAGTCTTCTGAATCCATATGACTGGTTTGTGTGAAAAGGTTCAGTTTAGTATGTGAACATGGCTCTCTTTGGTTTTTGAAGGTTCGTTCCTGAAAACATGTCGTCCATGGGAAACACTCTGGGTGAGAGATCCTCACACAAAACAGCAGCTGATCTGATCACTTATCAGTAATAATCTGATGATCAGCATGATTATCAATGTAATGGTTATCATTGGCTTTGCAGTCAATCTGGCACGGGTGGTGCCTCATGGACTGCTGGTGTTCTTCCCCTCGTATCCGGTGATGGATAAGACTCTGGAGTTCTGGAGGGTGAGCTTGTATTTCAGTCTGTCTGCAATAAAGCAGCAATTCCCTGTAGCTGACTCAGAAAGTCTTCATTTCATAAAGTCATGCCATTAAATGTTTCATGCACTGCAAAAATATTTTCCGCAGTGTTTTTGTTTTCCAATACAAATATCCTTACATCAGCATACATTTCCTTGAGATGTAGAGTGAAGATTTGAAGTCTTGTTTTCTGAGAAACTGAACAAAATGAAGTGAGTTTATATTTAAAACGAGAACAAATATCTATCAATCGGGAATTAAAACTGGTTTTCCCTTTGAATTAAGTCGATTTTTCTGAGCCCATTGGCAGATATTTGTTCTTGTTTTATTCATAAACTCACGTCCATTTTGTCTTATATTTGCCCTAAAAATAAAATTTTAAAAATACTGAATGTCAATTTTTTGCAGCGCTATCAGAAGGTACAGTAAAATCTATTTGCATAATAACGATTGGTAGCAAAGCTATTTAAGCCATAAGCTTTTTTTTTTGTACTATGAATTAAAAAGTAATGAAGAAATGTTGACAGCTGTATTTTCAAACTTTGAAGCGCTGTTAACACAAGACATTTACATTTAGAGGCTATATTGATCCATTCCATTCAATTTATTCCTTAAATTTGCTTTATTTGGCCTCAAAAAGGTTATAAAAGTCTTAAATTTACCTTCATAAAACCTGCAGAAACCCTGTTTATTGTGAAATAAATGAAAGCCTATTTTACAAGCATTTTTTTTTTTTACAAGTTTTCTTTTTTAAGGGTAAAATTGATGTAGATTTCGTTTTTTTGCCAACTGTAGCATTTAAGTCATTATACACCACTCCCTTCACTCTCTCAGGCTAATGGACATGCCGATCGCATTGAGCATGTGAAGCCCATGTTTGTAGAACCGAGGGGTAAAGGCACTTTTACAGAGGTAACCGCTATTGCTATCAGTCATATAATAACTGTTCACTTAGTATGAGTTGATATAGATGCTATCATAATGCTAACACAGCTTGATCTGCACAAGCTGTCAGTCAGTGCCGCTCTGAAATTGGATTCTCTTGCAGGTGATTCATGGTTATTATGACAAGGTGAACGACCCAAACTCCAGCGGAGGCAGCTTCTTCGCCGTATGCAGAGGAAAGGTGAGACTATAAATATCTGATGCAATAAAAATATATATATTTATTATGAACCAAGACCAGTAACATCAACATTTTTTTTTCTGTTTTCCAAGGCAAGCGAAGGGTTGGATTTTGCAGACACGTACGGTCGAGGGGTTGTGATCACTGGGCTTCCCTTTCCCCCCAGGATGGACCCCAGAGTGGTGCTAAAAATGCAGTATCTGGACGAGATGTGCAAGAAAAAAATTAGTGGAGTGAAGGTATTTAATATTGCTCAGATTTAATATTAAGATTATCAATTTAACATGTTTATTTATTACAATTTTAATTCAATTAAAAATCAATTCATTATTCAAACCTGTTATTTACATTTATTTTATATTTATATTTTATAAATGAATACTTATTTAGCAAGCATGCATTAAATTGACCAAAAGTAATATGCAAATCAGCATATCAGAATGATTTCTGAGGGATCATGTGACACTGAAAACAACTGGAGTAATGATGCTGAAATTCAGCTTTAACATCACAGGAATAAATTACATTTTAAACTATATTAATATAGAAAACAGTTTTGTAAATTGTAATATTATTTCACAATATTACTGTACTTTTGAGCCCAAACGTTTTAATACTAGTGAAAATATGAATTAATTATTTATTCAGAAATGCACTAAAGATATAATTCATACATCTAATGTAAATGAATACAGTAATTTTTTTTAATTTCTGAATTAATTCATTTTGATATTTGGGGCATAATGTGAAAATATCAGGATGGTACAACTGTCCTGATATCATAATGAAGGGAAATTCCTTAGTAAAAGGATCAAATTCTTGAAAAGTAGTTTGTTATTGAATATTATATTTATTATTATTTCTTAGGAAAAAATATGTCCTTTTGACCTTTAATGACATGGAAAGGTTAGTTCAGGTTGTAAATATGTCATACAATCCCCAAATAATATTTGTGACCCTGGACCACGAAACCAGTCTTAAGTCGCTGGGGTATATTTGTAGCAATAGGCAACAATACATTGAATGGGTCAAAATGATAAATTTTTCTTTTATGCCAAAAATCATTAGGATGTTAAGTAAAGATCATGTTCCATGAAGATATTTTGTAAATTTCCTACCGTAAATATATCAAAACTTAATTTTTGATTAGTAATATGCATTGCTAAGAACTTCATTTCGACAACTTTAAAGGCGATTTTCTCAGTATTTTGATTTTTTTTTTTAAATTTTTGCACCCTCAGATTCCAGATTTTCAAATAGTTGTATCTCTGCCAAATATTGTCCTATCCTAATAAATCATACATCAACGGAAAGCTTTTGTTTATCAAGCTTTCAGATGTATAAATCTCAATTTTGAAGAATGTACCCTTATGACTGGTTTTGTGGTCCAGGGTCACATTTATGCATTAATAATTCACGATGTTTGTGAAAAAAATGTTTTTACCAATACCTTAAAATATTTATATATTTTTATTTTTATTTGAATATTGTATAATTTAGTACATTTGTAATATTTTTATTTTAAAACTTTTTGGAAAATAATGATGACGGTGTGTACACTCATGTACATGTATTCAAGGTGTAAAGAAAACCTGCAGTGAACTGCATATGGTTCAGGTAGAGCTGTGTGTTCTTATGGTCTGTCTGGTTGTTTAGTATCTGTCTGGACAGGAGTGGTACAGACAGCAGGCCTCTCGAGCCGTCAATCAAGCCATTGGCAGAGTGATCCGGCACAGAGAAGACTACGGAGCTATTTTCCTCTGTGATCACAGGTCAGTGCTGATTACTACAACTGCAATTCCCTGTTGTGTGACTGGAGAGCAAGTATGCAGATATTAATGTTCTGGGTTTATAATTCCAGGTTCAAAGGCACCGAAGCCCGTAATCAGCTTCCTTCGTGGGTGAGGCCGTATGTTAAGATTTATGATGGCTTTGGTACCATGGTCCGTGATGCGGCTCATTTCTTTCGGATGGCGCAAAAAACTGTAAGTCCATTTCTTGTTCATGTTTTCCTGTTCCATGAACCTGTTTTTACACGTGCACATTTCTTGGTCGATTTGTGTATCAGAGACCAGTTCCTGTTAGGAAAGAAAAAGAGGCCTGTAAAAATCAGGCAGACACCAGGCCGCTCAACACAGGCTCCAGCTGTCCTGCTAAGAGTGTCTGGCTCAGTGACACCTCTCAAAAGGCCAAAACACTAGACTCACACGTCCCTAGCCTAAAGAGGAGAAAATTAGGTGAGGTCACCTCTATTCCTCCTTTTTTCTGACTTTTTAATGAGGTCTGAGGCTCTTGGATGACTGTTCATTAACACATATTTCACATATTGGAGGTTTATGTCCTGCTTGAATCTACTGTATTTTTTTTTTAAACAGTAATCGATAAAAAGTCAAGTAATTAAGCAATGAGTTATAATTTGGTCACATTCTGAGACTGTGATTTATAAAAAAGCCCAGTTGAAGCAATTAAACATTAACATTAGACAATGCTAGGAGACAATTCTGTTTTGAACAGAGACAGAGCCCTCAGATTTGATAATTTGGAGGATGTTTTGACATTGATTTTTATTTAATTGCTGTCAGTTACAGTACTTGTCAAAAGTTTGGAAATATGGTGTTTTTTAAATGTTTTAAATTAAGTCTTTTATGCTCACCAGGGCTGCATTTATGCACTCAAAAATACAGTAAAAACACAAATTTTGTGAAATTGTATTACAAAATAAATGTAGTTTTCTATTGTAAGATATTTTAAAATTTAAATGATTCCTGTGATGCAAAGCTGAATTTTCAGCATCATTACTCCAGCCTTCAGTGTCATATGATCCTTCAGAAATATTTCTAATATGCTGATTTGCTGCTCAAGAAGCATTTATTATTATTATTTTCAATGCTGAAAACAGTTGTGGTTCTTAATATATATGCCGACACCATGATTATACTTCCATTCAAATGTTTGGGCTTTGTGTGCATGTTTTTAATAGAAATTAATGCTTTTATTTTGCAAATATGCATTAAATTAATCAAAGGTCACATTAAAAACATTTATAATGTTACAAAAAATTATATTTGAAATTAATGCTGTATGAACTTTCTGTTCATGATTCATCCTGAAAATGATTTCATTAAATATTAAGCAGCAAAAATGGTTTTCAACATTGATAGTCATAAGTGCCATTATTAATAACTGAGCAATAATAATAATTGAGCACTAAATTAGCATATTACTATGATCTCCCAAGAATCATGTGGCACTGAAGACTGAAGTAATGATGCTGAAGATTCAGCTTTGCATCACAGGAATAAATGACATTTTAAAATGTATTAAAATAGAAAATAGTTGTTTCAAATTGTAGTAATATTTCACAATATCACGGTTTTCACTGTATTTTATTCAAACAATTGCAGCCTTGATGAGCATAAGAGACTTCATAAATTTTTTTTTTTAAATCATTATGTTTTCAAACTTTTGTGCATTCATTGTGAGTCAGTTAAAATGATTGTGATGTTTTAGAGTCAGAAGAGCATTCTGGTCGGGATGGAGCGGCCAGACTTTGCATTCAATATGAGATGGAGATGACAAGTATAAGGAAACCAGTCAGCCTGCTGGATGCCCTGGATGACACAACCAACAAAGGAGGGAGGGAAGACACCATGGCTGGGGAAGAAAGAGTGAGACAAGAATTAAATCACTAGAGAAATCATTTCATTGCTCTCTTTCCAAACCAATTTTATTTTCTTTCTGCCATTTAGCATAAAATGAGATGTAATGCTGAATGTCGGCGCAGCTGTTTTCCATATAATGAAAGTGCATGGGGATGTATATGGAAATGGTCTAAAAGAGGACAAGTATAATAAAAGTAGTCACATGCGACCTGTGCGCCCTTTTTCCAGGTCTTTTAAATTCATACGACAGTTCAGTGGTGTAGGCAGTGATTTCACATTTCTCAGAGAAATTGGAAGTGAATAACCTAGAAAATGAATTTTTTGCTGAATAAATTAGATATGAATGGTAAGAAATTACCTCATAAATCATGATCAGGGTTTTGAGTGACACCATGATCTCTTTTTATCTGTTTTTCAAATCTTTCTACTTTCGTCAATTTAGCTCTTTTTGCAGGTCTGTAAAAAAATTATTTTGCCGTAAAATAACTGTGATCAAATCTTTTTGCTAATTTTCCCTTTCTCTCATTGGTCTTTGACCCTGCAGGCGAGTCTCTTGTCGACTCTTTCCCTCCAGCATGACAAACGTCTGGATGATGAATCGAGGGGTGGGAAACGGAAAATTAAAGTGGTTCAAGAGCGGGTGAGGGATCTTGATTGAATTTTTTCATGTTGTATGCTTTTGGTGTATGTATACCTTATTCTGTTAATTACAAGACTATGCAAAAATTCATCCAAAAAGTGGCATAAAATGTTATATATATATATATATATATATATATATATGTGTGTATGTGTGTATAATTTATTCATGTGATCCAAAGCTGATTTTTTTTTAGCATCATTTCTTATCAATGTTGAAAACAGGTCACTGATAACTTTTTTTTTTGTAGTTCAATAGCCTTTATTTTAATATGTGTTTCCCACAGACTTGCGCTCTGTGGCGGCATATATATGCAAATTCATTCTCTGCCAGCAGGAGGTGCTTGTAAAGCAGGAGAAATAGAGGTTTCCCCGTTAACTGCTGTACACAAAGCAGCGCTCAGCTCACAAAACGCTGCTTTATCAGACATTACATGCCAGATTAAATGAAAATGACATCCGTAATTTTCTGAAGACAGTCGGATTCCTTAAAAAATACAGTGATATAAAAACACCTGCACCGTGTTTCGATTTTTAAATGTGCAGTGCTCATGTTTATTCAACGAAGTCAGAGCCTTTTTGGAAAATCTATTTGTGGCTGTCAGTTTTGATAATGTGGCGGGCCGCCACAAATAAATCAATGTATGGGAAACACTGATGCCTTTAACTGTTAACCTGTCACGTTTGGTAATTGAATGTGTCCTTGCTGAATAAATGTATTAATTTCTTAAAAAAAACGTTTTGACCCACAGGCTTTTGAATGGTAGTGTTTTTAAAATACCAGATCAGATTAATATGTAGACTCTACAATTAAGCTATTCATAGGTTTCCTCTAAAACTGACTTTATATTTGCAATTTAAAATTTGGTGACAGAAATTACACACATCACCTATAAATTTAGTGTATTACAAAAATGGATTTGTGCATCTCCTTTTTCTTTTGTATTAAATGTATTTTATCTCTTCTGCTGGCTGTGCTTTAGAAAACAGTGGCTTCCTGTACTGCAAAAACAGGCAAAGATTTCATGATGGAACTGAGACGATGTCTGAGTCACGAGAACTTCAAGCTCATCATGGAGGCGCTGCAGTCCTACAAGACAACCGATGACCTGAGTGACCTTCTTGCTAATGTGACTGAACCGCTCATACAAGACCACAACACACACTGTCTGCTCAGAGGTGCGGAATCACGACATATCCTTCAAGCCAATTACATTTCCACTGCTAGTTCAACTAATATGCCTTCTAACATTTGAATTCCCTTCACTGATCTCTGTTGTGACTGGAATCAAAACTGGCAGATAAAGAGCATCATCTTCTTTTTCTCAAGGTCTTTATCAGTTTATTCGACCACACCATAAGAAAGAGTTCGATGAGCGTTGTTTGGAGTTAACAGGTGAAGGCTGTGGCTATAAACAAGAGCATTCGCTGTCCAGAGAGGAGCGAGAGGCTCTCAGGCAGAACACGGGTAACATCTGACTTGTAAATAGTGTGTAACAGTTACAGGAAACATTTAGAACTTATTTTCTCTCTCGATAATGATAAATAACATTGTTTTATGTTTTCCTTTTCTAGCAAAAAGTAAGATGTCACCTGTGAATCCACCCAGTGAGCAGCTGAATTCGAGTCAACAGCTGAACCAAGGTGGTTCTCACCTGGTCAATGGTGGGGATAGTAAAATTGAAGGTATATTGGAGTTTATTGCTATTAACTGCAATTAAAAAGGTCTTGTATAGGGTGGCCATCCGTCCAGTTTTATATCGGACAGTCCAGTTTTAAAACACCACGTCTGTCTATTGCCGTATGCTGGAGCCGCTCATTTATCCTCTTTTTAAGACTACTGTTTTATATTTTATACAATGGCCTATATTATAAATAAATGAACAAATGTTATGTTCAAGTTCAAATTAAGCAACATACACTTTATACGCTATGTCAGTATGGCTGTTTTGCTCCATTTTGCCAACATTGCATCTCTGATCAACCCAGTGTTTTGTATCTGAATGATTCCGCGTTTTTGAACAAATCAGGTGAGTCAGTGATTCAATAAGCCATTCATGAAGACAGTTGCTAAATTCAAAAGTGCATACTAGCTTACCACTCTTATTATTTTAGCTTATCTCTCTATGGCAGAAATGGTAAGAGTAATATGCTAGTATATAGTTCCGAAATCGAGTCACTTGCTTAATTTCTAAACGAATCGGCCAATTTGAACGAATTGATTGAATGAGTGAATCAATGACTGGCTTAATATGACTTGTAGCCACCTACTGATGGATTTAGATTCATATTTAAAGTTTCATAATTCTGTATTCAGTTTATTTTATATTTAACCATTCATCTAACATTATTTATTAATTTTAATGGCAGGGTAAATGTATTTGTGGCATCAGCATTAAACAGTCTGTGTAAAAGCATCTAAATGTCACTTCAGGTGCACTTTTGTGGTACAAAGATAGATTTAGTTGATTTCGGTGCCCTATTGTCTTATTATTCTAACTGAATTTACATGAAAGATGATGCATACATTTAATAATATTAGAAAATGTGCCCTCATAAAGGTTAAAAATGTCCCTAGAAATAAATTTAAGGGGGTAAATATCATCTCTTAATGGAAAAGTTTATTTTTTGTTACTGGTTTAGGATAATTGTTCCATTTTTATTCTGGCTTCAAATCCTGCATAGTGTCCTCCTTTTCGGTAGACATTGCCACCCTATTCTTGATGCAGACATTTGTACATTTGCGACTTGTTTTTTGAAATTTTACAGTGAATGTGAGAAGTGAAGTCCAGAAGCCACAAACATCCATCAAAGAAGGTCTTTCGTGCTCCTCTCTGCTGTCAGACATTAAACAGGCCATCGGTGCAGAAAAAACCCGTCAGATGTTTTTGGCCTTGCAGGCCTATAAAACATCAAACAATTATGAACAGATGGTGTCAACTGTTGTGAGTTTATTGACTGAGAGAGATGAAGACATCGCTCTACTAGAACGTTAGTCTGTTTCTTTTAGATTCATCATAACCTTTTACATTTTTTATTAAACTGGGTATCTGTTGGGAAAGAGGCTGAACTTGTTTGGGTCTGGTCTAGGGTTGTCTGTGCTCATTCAACCACAGCACAGGAAGCAGTTCGGTGAGCTGTTAAAATCCTTGACCGGAAATGATTCTGTTGCGAACCAGGATTCAGACATGGGATCAAGTCAACTAAATCAAGGTATTCTTTGTAATAATTGTGTGTAAATATTGTATTCCGCTACAGGGATGGATGGATGGTAGATAAATATGCTAATCGTTCTTAATTGTTATTTTTCGTTGCAGCATCTCAGTTATCTGCAGGAAAGACTCAAAGCAAGATATCATCCTTCTTTTCATGAATGCTGCTCTAATATATTGCTCCAAGCTGCTCTAAGATATCAGTATCTTCATTTTTTTTTTTTGCATATACCATGCATGAAGAAATTTAAGCAGGAGAATGTTGAAAAAATGGCACAACTGATATTTATGTAATTATATTTTGGCGATAAACACTTTACATTAATTGTTTGTAATGAATAAATGAACTTTTTTTAAATGGTGTTTTTTCAAGGTTTTTTTTTTATGTTAAAAAAATTTAATGAAAAATAGTATGTGAGTGATTTGGCATCTGAACATTTTATCTTCCCTGTACCATTAAGTAGCACTATTTTACTTTATTTTATATTTTTATGTACTATTTCTTTTTTATTCTAAATGATTAAAATGTATTCTCTTGAGAAAATATATTAGACCAAATGTGTTATATAATATATATTATAATATAATAATTATAATATATATAATATAAACAAAGCTTGATTGGATATCCAATGTTATTTCCTAAAAACAATATAGGTTTCTAGTTATTTATAAAATAAATAAATTCAAATGTGCAAGCAATAAGTTAAGCAAAAATAAGTTAAAGCCATATAAAATGGATTAACAGATATTAAAGACAAATGTGGTTTTCCTTTTTTTTTTTTTTTTTAAACAGTACAACAACTATTTTAAATGTAGATGGACTCAAAATAATAAAAGGACTGTCTGGGAATTTTTTAATTTTTTTTCCTTTTTATTTAGCACAACATGTATTTGTATAGTGGGAATTCAATACAAAATATTGAATACAAAGTTCAATTCATGCTCTTGTTTTTATTTAATAACACAAAAACAAGAGTTATTACATTATTAACACATTGTCACAATATTAACACCATAGCTGCTAAAAAATAAAATATATTTCGGTGTTTTTAAAACACCGCAGCATTTTCATTTTTCTTTGTTCCAAAAGGTTTATGTATAATTTAAGTTCATTTAAACGTAGGATTTTTTTTCAAAGATCTATCTTTTTATATCATTTATTCACTGAAATCGGATGTAGGAAGCAAGAGTGAGGTCAACGTTGAGCGACTCCTGAAAGAAACTCTCACAGAAACAAAACAATGCCACGACCAGCGGTAGATTTCAAATGTAAGTCCGTGATTTTTTTAGTCATTTTAGTTGGGTACAAACTTAAAACCATGTATCTGAATTAAGATGGAGGGACACTTGCCAGAAAATTTGAACAGTTGAACGTCTGTAAGGTTAGCTTGAAATCTAACCGGCATCATTGCATAGTCTATAAATCACCCTCGTCCCAAATATATCACACAAGAACATTAAATATATTTTAATAAGTTGTTGATTCTGAAATATGTGAAAACTATACTGCATAATGTAGCGGGGCCTTTCTTTGCCTGCTCTATTCCTTTAGTTTCATGTCGGTGAGCTCCTGTCATGTGAGTGCCTGATCCTCATTATGGATGAAAGCAGTCTGGAAGAAGCCATCGAGATCTACAGCACTCAGCTTCAGCAGGTGCAGGTGGCGTTATCTGCTGGTTTGAGCTGACCTCCTGAAGCTAAAGGAGGACCTGCAGCAGCTCACTGAGCCCACAGAGTCCAGCCTGGGGTCTGTCAAAAAAAGCCAGTTGCTGGCCTCTTTGGAGGAGCCTTCGACAAACCAAGATGCCACATCTGTTACTCAAGAAACGGGTGAACTGTCAGAGGACTCCGCTGAGGTAAAACAAAATGCTGAACCGGATGAGGAGGAGGAAGAGGTGGATATAAGTGGAACTAAGGTACGTGCTCCTCATGGGGAACCCTAGAGTACCATAATGCCATGGTGGTCTGCCCTGAAGAGGCTCGAGTCCGGGTGCTTTACCTTCATCCCACAAACAAATCCATGAAACCCTGCGGCTTCTACCTTGGGGGCAAGTGCCGTCTTTTAAATCTTCAGGGTTTTTTTTTTTTTTTTTTGAACAAAAAAGTGTGGAGTTTTTATATTTTTTTGATGGCCAGATATGATACTTTTCACAAAAAAAGAGAACATTAAAAAAATACAAATTTGAAAAACTTTTATACTATTTTCAGCAAAACTTGAAATTAAATGACGCAAAAAAAAAAATTCTTACACCTTACATACATGTGAGTGCACACATCTTAATCATTATTTTCGTAAAAGTTGCATTTATTGAAAGGTAAAACAGTTTATTAAAAGGTAACGTTTATTGTTTAATAAATATTGTACATTTATACATACATAAAATACTTAGGCACAATATGTAAGATTTTTTAATTAAAATATCCAAAAAAAACACTAAAACAGTGTTATATATTTTGCTGACTTGTGTACTTACACTATCCCAAATGTTTCGAAGAATGTTTAAATCCAGAGAAATAAGCAATTTTAACCAGTGCCACGGAGCGTGTCTATAGTGTCATTGTGTCGCCTGCCAATGACGTCATAACCCCTCGATTTCCGGTTTTGTTTTGTAGAAAACACCAAAGACGCTTTAATATGTTGAGAGTTTTATTAGACAGGTGACGACTTCACAGAGTAGCATTATAACAGAACTTTCAAATGTATCTAGTGTGATAAAACAGCGCTGCTTTACCCCACATACGCACGACCGGAAGGAGCGGAAGCGCTCGACTGTGGCATAATAAAAGCTCCGCTGCTTTCGAGCCGTGTGTCGCGCTCGTTCAGCGGCCTCGTTTCGCTTCGACGGCTTTCAGTCTCACCCTGCTTCATTCTACTACGTTAATAAATCATTAGCTCATCCATGAACATGATTTCTGCCCGAGCGGCGAAAATTACATATTGTGCCTTTAAGTATTATTTTCAAACTTTTCAATGATATTGTCAATGTAAAAAGTAATTTTATGAATATCTTATCTATTTTTTAAATAACTATATAAATAATAATATATATATATTAAACTAATAATCATAAGAAAATGCTTTTTTCCTTGAAAATATCATTTATAAATGCATTTATTAATTACCCAAATAAAAAAATTAAGTGTTTTCATAAAACTGTTTTATTATTATAACTATAGTTTTATTATTATAAAACTAAATTTTCACATTTAAAATGTTCTTTTTATAAATATTCTGTATATATATATATATATATATATATATATATATATATATATATATATATATATATATATAT